TTCAAATTAATTTTTGGAATGTTTTCTGCTGGGTCCCACAATGAAACAGAAAGGGCCAGTCACCTGAATTCCTCCTGCAGGGCCAGTTGGCTGAGTCCTATATTCTTCCTAGGGTGACTAGTATAAGAATATTAATGTGAGTCAACCCTTAGTTCCTGTTGTTACTATGGCTTCAGGCTGTTCCAGGCCACCAGATCTACCTGGCTATGGTATGCACCTCAGCTGAGACCCTACTGTGTCATTCAGGTTATTGTAGGCCCTTTTTATCACCTCCGGGCTGGGAGAGACCTTATCAGCACTCTTCTCAATCCATCTGGTGTTCTCTACATAAAGAAGGTCTCACCCACACTCTTGCCAGACCTGTCATAGCTGGGGAGGAGTTCACTTTTGCTCCTGTTTACCCAGTGAAGTCCTCTATTTGAGGTAGAAACTCACCACACTGTCATAAGTCTGCTAAGGTCTTCTATGTGGTTGAAAGATTGGTGAGGCTCCCTACAGCCCACCAAGGTTCTGCAGGTAGTGAAAGGGGTTGCTACTTGTCCATGGGCTGATGTGGTCTTTTGGGTAGTGGGATAAGGGTGACTGATGATTCTTCTATGCTTAGGTCCATGGATCATTGTGAGGTAAGTCCGAAGTTCCCATCAACCCCTAGGTTCATGGAGTGAGGGGGGGGGTGAGGCCAACATTCCTGCTGACCCTTAGGTCCATGGAGCTAGGAGGACTGGTGAGGTTGACATTCCTGTTGACCCCTACATCAGTGGAGAGAGGAGGGGGGAGAGGCCAATGATCCACTGACCAGTAATTCCATGGAGCCAGCTCAAAGTATTTTTTAAAGAGGATACACTTTCTGTGTGTTTGTGTGTGTCTATGTGTGTGTGTGCATGTGCTTGTGAGTAATTTGCTTTCCGTGTCCCAAACCCACTTGGTATGCATCCCTTCCTTACTCACCTCTACTTCCCCACCACAATGCTGACAATAGCTCTAAGGATTCACAGATCTCTCTCTCTCTGGTATTTCTTGAGTACTTGGGATATTGTTCAATAGAGTATACAGACTCAAATATTTGTTGAATGATTAAATAAATGAAATGTGAAAATACAGTATTTGTGTACTTATTTCTATGTAGGAGGCAGAACTGGAGTACATCCCCTTCCACTGAACTCTTTGCACATTCTCTCTCCCTCTTTGAGGAGACACATGGTCCCTCTGGAATGCACTCACCTCCCATACGTTACAGAGATCCAGTGAACCAAGAAGCAATTTTCCATGTAAGTCCTTTGGGAAAAGCTCCTCACCAGGCTGGAATACAGGTAGAAAAGAAAGGTTATATAAAAATGAGCCTGGCCTCAGCCTCAAATGAGTTATTTGGGGCAGCCATATCTTGAGACTGATGGAACAATCTTTGCTTGTTCTTAAAAGGTATTAAAAATTAATTAAAGGGCACAGTAAGTCCATTGAAGAAGCATATTTCCCCGAACTGCGTTAAAATGCCAAAGTTTAATCATTATTGTTGTGTCAAGGTTAACATGAGGTATCCAAAACTCTGTCCTAACAGATTCTAGTCATTTCATGTCCAGTGGGCCCCCTGGTCTTGGACGATGTAAAAGAACCCTCAGTGACTTGTCAGCATCTCAAGCATTGAGTTTCATTGAATGTTCTATCCCTTAGTTGAGTTTCAAGATTGCAACATGCCCTGGAAATCAGTCAGCATGGAGCTGAGATCAAGAGCATAGAAACTCAAAAATATAGACAGTACTTCCACACGACTAAAGCACTGATACTAATGAATTCTATCACTCTGAAGCTGGACTAGTGAATTGGTAAGGGAATAATTTCAAAGAGAGAGAGAGAGACAGAAAAAGATAAACAGAGAGAAATAATTGTGTGCATGTCTTATCTTTGCAAACTTTATCATCTCTTTGCAATCAGATACTTTTTATGTTAATTTTTATGTTAATTACTGAAGTAAGAAAAAAGGTGCCAACCTTCAAAGATACTGGGAAATGAATGAGATAAAGATCCACATAACTCAGCTGAAGCTTCTTCAGTAATGCTTCCAGGCATGACTGGACCAGTTCTGGGTACAAAAAAGTGCTCCACACCTGCAGTGGGTGAAGGAGAAATTGTGTAAGATCATTTCTTCAAGTCTTTAGCAAAAAAGTAAAATGGAAAATATTACCAACCAAAACTTTACTTAGAGTAGATGGCAAGTGATGATTTATACTCATTGAAGGTAACTGATTTGATATCATTATGAACTATTTCTACACTGAATCGAGACATACGTAGAAAAAGAAAACATGGTCTTACAACAGCAATTCCCAAACTTTAGATGGTAAAATCATTATTACATTTGTTTCTAAAAAATATACCACTTGGTTTTACTCAAAATGCAATAAATCATTTTTAATACCTGGAGGTTAGACATAGAAACTGTCAGACAAGAACCCAAGTGATTATGATTTAGAAAACTGCCTTGACTACAGGCACTTAGTCTACGGTCAAAGAAACTTAGGCCTACTAACAACATTTTGTAGGCATATTATTTACTTCATTTTAAGAAGTAATAATCTAGAGAAAATTCATCAAAATAATAGTTGTAAGGAAATAAATACATCACAAGAAGGAGACCAGAAAGAGTGGAATGACTTGGAGCAGCACCTATACCACACCTGAGAACAGTCATGTGGGCTCATGTACTCGGTAGCCCAGCAGGAAGCAATGTCCCTTTATAAACCTGCTTTGGATTCACTTACATGCACCTGAATTTGCTCTCTTTAGGCTACTTAACGTCAAATCTAGATTTTTATCTAGCAGTAGTGAGTTCAACTACATCTCAGCTATTTCATTTGTTTTGTCTATCAATAGATATGACGAGTATTAGAAAAAAATAACTCGAGTTTTTTTAAGAGAACATAAATACTTTTAAAAGCATTAATATCATCCTTATACATGTTTGAGGTTATCTTTTCTGCATAGTGAGGAGAAATAAGCATTTTAAAGCACAAAATAGGTTTAGATGTAAAAGACCCAGTGATTGAGAGGAAATAACTGACAAAAATCAACTCAAAGGAGAAAACATTTATTTAGGTTCATGATCTCAGACATTTTAGTCCATGGTCAGGTAGAGCCACGTTTTTAGGTGAGAACCCTCAGGAGGAAGGCGTGGAAAGGAAAAGTCAGGCATTCAGGGCAGCCTGAAGCTCACAGGAAGCGGCCCAGAGCAAACCGCGCTCTCAAAGCCACGCCCACTGCGCCGCTGCAGCGAGTTAGGCTCCGCCTTCTTAACCAGCCGTTAAAGTCGCACAGAGTAAAGAGCTCAAGTTTGACCCCAGCTGTTTTTTTATTTAAAGAGAAACAAACAAAAAACATGAAGAAAAAAGGGTAGAAATAATACAGAATTACAGAAAAATAAACAATAAGAAATCACCAGTTGATAAGTTACTGTCATCTTAGAAATAGTTGTTCAGGTTACAAAATTAAAGTATGTAAAGTGACATTCAAATAGTGGCACCGCCAACAGTTCTGTTCAATGATCCAACAAAAACTTAGTAATATGGCTATCAGTCCTACACACTTGTTTTTTGTCTTAAAGAGGGTAAGATTAAACATATCAAAACAGAACAAAACAGTTCAAAAAGAAACAATTTAAAGAAATACAGATTTCAAAGCCAGTCCACTGGAGATCTTCACTGTCTATCTTATTGTCTCTAGTTTTCTTCCAAATACTTGTCCCCATCTTCACACACATTAAATACATACTGCATATTATAGAACTAATCAAATCATTACAGGATGATGAAGGCTTTTTAGGTCTTCAAGATCTGACATTGGGGAAGACAATAATAACTACCATAGTGTCTCTCATTCTCTTCGTGGTAGCTGTCCTTATCTTTACGTATGCTGAAATTGAACTTAAGAGGCTAGACTAATATCACTCTGAAGAGTGAATAATAGTATTTATCTGATTCCAAGGCCTATACTTGCTGACAAAATCATGTTGCCTCACACTGAGGTGAGGATTTAAAAATGGAATCAAAATAACTTCAAATGTTGTGGATACACAGTTGGAAAAGCCAAATTCACTCCATTGCTTAAAAAAATATATATATATATAGTAGTAAAAATAGCTAGTATTTTTAAGCATTTAGAATGTACCAAACTGTTTCTTAGAATTTCATATGCCTTTTTTAGGTAATACTCATGAAAAGCCTGTAAGATAACTAAATTATCTTTATTTTACAGCTTGAGAAACAGAGGCACAAAGTTTTATGGACTGTTAGAGGTCAGACATTTAAAAAGTGTTTCACATACAAAAGTCTTGAGGTAGGGGATCAGCCTGGGGCAAAACTGGTCAGACAAGTGTGGGAATCTGTGGAGGCCTCGAAAACCAGGCTGCATTAGCAGAAGGCAGGATGCAAGATAACACTGCCATTCCTAAGCACAGCATGTGGACCCAGTCAGAAAGGGTTGTTTTTTATCCTTAACTTACAGATAGCAAGAAACCAAGCACTTGTGTGACAGGACAGTGTAAACCGGGGAGCAGGCCAGGTGATTTTTTGACAGGAGAACTGCATCAAATGCTTTACTTGTGTGAGGGAAAGGACCATCTGGGAGTGCCAGATACAAAGGACCCCTTTCTCTTTCTTTCTGGCCAGGGTGTCTGTTCACTGGCCCGCTCTCACTCTGCAGACCTGCTTCCTTTCCACGTTCAATGAGTGTGTATCCCTATACCTTTTCAGTGTGTCTTGTCCAATTCTTTGGTCAGGACACCAAGTACCTAAAAGAATTTCCTGGGAACATCATTCCAGTAACAGTCTGACAGAACCCTCATTCCTAGCCACTTCCCATGTTGCATGATCAAAAGAAATTAAAATCCAACAATACAAAGAGAAATTTTCCAAAAATCTATTATTTTAATAATAATTTAATATCTTAATAATCTAATATTTTAATAATAAGCACCCTACAGATACAGATACAGTACATATAACTGAAAGAGTTGCCGGCCCAGATAAAACACTGTAACCAGAAAAGGCTGCACCTAAACTCCTCCCCCACCCTGCCCCCTATGGACTTGATTGTAATTCTGTATCCCCATCCTTAAGGACCTGTGCGCCAATGAGATATCTGTGCATCTCTAATGAAGTTAGGGTGCTGCCCTAAGCTTAGGTTATTTAGATCTCCCACGCCACGTGTCCTAGAGAGTTCGCCGGGGAGTTTTGCCAGAGGGAGTTCGCCAGAAAGAGAGAGCTCGCCAGACTCCAGCGCGCCAGTCTCCACTCCCCGTGTTCCCAGAGACACCACAGCCCGGCCCCGGGCTCCGTGCAGAGATGCCCGGGGCCGGCACCGCCGGCGGCGGGGGCCCCCTCCCCGCATTCCCGGAATAAAGCCACCGCTGACCACTACTGTTACGGCCGTCCACTCCGCTCCATTCCTCCCGCAGACTTCTCTCTCCGCCTCCCCCTTCTCACAGACCTAACAGATGGTGCCCTGTGACTCGGCGGCAGGTGAGAGACTATACTTTTCTCGGTTTTGTTTTATAGTCCCCCTGCTGTTAAAATTTCTTTACTTCTGCAGTCAAAAATCCACTACCACTCGGGTAATTAACTCCCCTGCTAACTTTTAAAACAGGCTGTTTCTTTCCCAGCGTGCGCTCTTTTGTTCCTGTGTCCCCGACCCGCGCGCCCTTCTTCCGGCTCCCGCTCACAGCCTCGGCGCTGCCGGTCCCGCGGTCATAACGGCCTTCCGCGTGGCCCGTGAGGCCTGGTCACCCCAGGGTGGGGGGCCCTTTACAGGACTTTTAAAGCGCCTTTCTTTCCCGGCGCGGATCCCTCCCCGCCGCGCGCTTGCCTCCGCGCGCCGCCTCGGCGCCGCTGGTCCTGCGGTCATGAGCCGGTCTCCCGCGTGGCCCGCGGGGCCTGGTCACCCCAGGGGGGGCCCGCGCCTGGCTCCTCTGCGCCAGGCGCCTCTCCCCCCCCCCCTCCCACCATGTTTTAGTTCTGTTTATTTCGCCGGCGCAGCGGCTCGAGCCCCGGCCCCTCCATTCATTGGCTCCGCCCGCGCCTGGCTCCTCTCCCTTTTGTTTCCCACTTTACGCCGTTCTCCCGAAGTTAAATAAGACCAGACAAACCTAAAATTCACATCAAACTGCTTTTAATTTTAAAAACAGCCTTTTTTTCTTTCTTTCCCTCTCACATTGCGTTCCAATTCTGTGGGCCTCTCTGGCTTTGGTCTCCAGCCCAGCCCATTCATTTCCTGTTTCACCACCCACACGGCGGCAGTGTCCCTGCGCCATACGCCGCCCGCCGTAGCCGCCCAAAAGCCGTGGCTTTCACAGCGCGCCCAGCTCTGGCGCGGCTGTGAGCCTTTCAAAACAAAGCCCACCTAACTTCACGCTGTGCCTCTCCCGCGGCCACACCCTGCCCCACACACCGGGCTCCTTACAGCAAGCAAGCCATGCCTCTGACTGCCTCTGCCGCTGCGCCGCCCCTTCGGGGCGCGGCCACCATCTCTGCTGCCCGCCTCGGCCGTCGCCCCGCCCCTCCGGGGCACAGCCACCGCCTTGGCCGCCGCACCGCCCCTCCGGGACGCGGCCACCCCCTCTGTCGCCCCGCCCCACGCACGCGGGGCTCCGCGCAGCCAGCAAGCCGTGCCTCTGACTGCCTCTGCCGCCGCGCCGCCCCTCCGGGACGCGGCCACCCCCTCTGTTGCCCCGCCCCACGCGCGCGGGGCTCCGCACAGCCAGCAAGCCATGCCTCTGACTGCCTCTGCCGCCGCCCCGCCCCTCCGGGACGCGGCCACTCCCTCTGTCGCCCGCCTCAGCCGTCGCCCCGTCCCTCCGGGGGACCGAACGCGAGCTGCAGCTCCCATTGACGCCAGGCGTTAACTGGGATCACCACTCGGGGCCTCCAAGCCCCACCCCCTTACGCGATCGCAGCGGAACGACGTCATTTCCCTGCGCCGCTTAGCGCGTCACAGTAAGCCTCCGTTCTTTGCTTACGGTGTCCCGCGTTCGCCCCGCCCACTCTGCGGTTCCTTGCCTGCCCCTCTGCGGCACCACACACACAGGCTGCCACTGGTGCCGCATGACAATTAGCGCGTCACAGTAAGCCTCCGTTGTCTGCTTACAGTGTCCCGCGCTCGCCCCGCCCACTCTACGGTTCCTTGCCTACCTCTCCGTGGCACCGCACACACAGCAGCTCAACGGCTCTGCTCAGGCATGCTTTTTTTTTACAATTTGGCTCCGCTCAAGAGATGCTTTTTTATTACAATTCTCAAACCGTTTAATCAAAGTTACTGGCCACCTGATAATTTTATCAGCCTTGTTTATCAATCAAAGCCTTCACCACCTCCTGTTTAACAACTAAGGTTATAAATTCCTTTTTGCTGGAAACCACTAGCTCTATTTCAAGACAAGGGTTTTCTTCAAAGTTTTATTTTATTTTACCAACCTTATTTATCAAAGCCTTCACCAATCTCCTGTTTAACAACTAAGCTTATAAATTCCTTTTTGCTGGAAACCACTAGCTCTATTTCAAGACAAGGGTTTTCTTCAAAGTTTTATTTTATTTGTCTTGATTCATAGTACTGCAAGTAACAACTTTAAAAGTAACTGTGTTCAAAATCTGACAGTATTATATCAGTTTTAATTTATTCATAAGATTGCTAAACCTATACTTACTTAATTCTACTATAGTCCAAATCCCAAACAAAAAGGCAAAACTTGACCTTCAAACCTTAGAGAGATCTTAATATGGTTTTTTATATTTTTAACACTTGTGACACTTGGAGTTCTGAGACAGGTAAACCTACACAAGGTGGAGCTGCCTGCCCCCTCCATGGACCACGCTCAAATGCAGCAGAAGATACTGGACAAAAATGTCCCATCCTGGCATTCTTTGAGACCTTACTCCAGGGCTACTGGACTGTCCTAGCCACCAGAGAGTGGGTAAGCCATCCTAAGTTCTAGCCCTCATAGGAAATGTCGACACTGCCAGATTCGTCACCGACAAAAAATCGCTGCTGGAGGCTGAGGGGGTTCAAGATAACAACAGCCCCCTTTAAGGTGTCCGTCTCAGATTCCAAGTCACACTACAGTCTCAGGTAAGATATTCTCTATATTTGTGGACATAGAGGCCATATATACAGGATTCTTCCTGAGTATTCAGGTTGCTATATTAAATCAATCTCTATGACATGGTATTGATGGTCAACCTATGCCATTTACAAACAGGCCCATTTTTATACAGGTCCCAGTCCTAAATCATAAAATGCTTTTATTCCCTTTTAAACTGCCATTCTGGTCTCACATTACTCAGGCCCTAGATCTAACCATCCTTTTGATGCTCATCTCTGCCTTATGACTCACAGGTTGTCATGTTTTGTTGTCCAGTTTGATTCTTAATTTCTTACATTCTATTAATAATCATTTCTATAGCGGGAGTCCTTAACACGGTTGCCTACAGACTCCAACATCATATATACCAGAGACAAGCCTTACCTACCTACCTTTTAACTTTTATGCTTTCATAGGGGGGAGTAAACACCTCTCATAACTTCACTCCTCCTAATCCCACGTTTATTTTTCAGAATTCTGCCTTGCCACCTCAACGTCACCCTGATAAAATACCATCTCAAAACCAAAGTCACCTTCCTATCTACCTCACCTGGGTCCTTAAATATAATAGTGCCATGTCTCCTAATAACATTATGTCTCTTTGTTTTTCCAGTCTGACATACATACATTCACCAGTGAAGTTGTCCTGGCTAAAACACCTGGCATCAGTGTCTACCTGGGCATCAACCTTCATCCTGTCAAACTCCCCTAGACCCCAATACAGCGCCCTCAGCCAGCAGGAAGTAGTTACAGAGAGAGATCTTCGCCCCTTTTCCTAATAACCAGAAGACGGGATATGAAAGAGTTGCCGGCCCAGATAAAACACTGTAACCAGAAAAGGCTGCACCTAAACTCCTCCCCCACCCTGCCCCCTATGGACTTGATTGTAATTCTGTATCCCCATCCTTAAGGACCTGTGCGCCAATGAGATATCTGTGCATCTCTAATGAAGTTAGGGTGCTGCCCTAAGCTTAGGCTATTTAGATCTCCCACGCCACGTGTCTGAGAGAGTTCGCCGGGGAGTTTTGCCAGAGGGAGTTCGCCAGAAAGAGAGAGCTCGCCAGACTCCAGCGTGCCAGGGCCCGCGCCGGCCGGCGACGGGGGCCCCCTCCCCGCATTCCCAGAATAAAGCCACCGCTGACCACTACTTTTACGGCCGTCCACTCCGCTCCATTCCTCCCGCGGACTTCTCCTCCTCTCCCTTCTCCCAGACCTAACATAACTATAACAGCACCTTTGAAATATAGAAAATATCACTTCTCTTTACACTGCCACTGCCAATCTTCTTCTGGAGGGACCATCCAATTTCTTCTTCATTTAGATAGAAATAAGCTGAATCAATAAGCCTGTAACCTATATCAATTGCTTCCTGGACAGCTTCTCCTACCTTATTTGCAGCGCCCTAAAAGAACATAAAAGATATTTATTTGACTCACAAAGAGACATTTCATATATAGAACTATGGAATACAATCTTTTTTTCCCAAAAAACTAAGATTGAATGAGGCAAAGTTAAATGTTGAGCTACATCAATTGGTAAATGTATAACAAGTAACTTCCAAAAGAAGTCCTGATTTATAATATTTGCCAGTTCCTAGTATAAATATTCCTGTCATATCTAATTTCAAGTTTCCAAAATTGTGAGAAGATGCTCACAATTGATGGCTTGAGTCTATAGGACCCAGACTTAGCAACCACTGAATTTAACTGTCTCTGGATTTACACTATATATAGAGATATAAGTATGATCTATAAATTAATACTCCTAAGTTAATTTACACTAGAAGAAATCATTGGCTCAAGCACTTGCCTGGTAAGAGCAAGGTTGTAAGCTTAATCCTTGGCACAAAAAAAAAAAAAAATAAATAAATAAAGCGATTGTTAAACTGAGTTTAACTCAAAAATTTGATGCTAATAATATCTATCAATGCAAAAAAAAATACAACTTTAGATGGAATAAATTTAATAATTTACCTGTCTAAATCATTTCCAAGAACATTTCAGGGACAGCAACAATGTAAAAGAATTTTTTTTCCACTAAAACATATGTCATAGCTGATTCCTTTATGTGTTAACACTAAGTTGATCATTAGATGACATTTTCTCCTTCAAAACACTGATATTTCATTTGCTGCCTACCGTTCTGCTGGGTCACCAGGATGGACTCCTGACACCATGCATTTCTTTCTCTCTCAATAACTAAGTGTCCCTCGCATGTATCTTTTTAAATCCCTACCTTGCTATGTGCTAAGTCCCAAGATTAACCACCTTCAGGTTATAGAGCCAAGTCAGGACGAAAGCAGCACTGCACACCTGTCTCTGCTGAGAATTCTCAGGGTATGCTGCATGCACCTCTCTTGTAGAGTATAAATCCTATGACTTCCTTTTAGATTCAGAAATATGTGTAGAATTCAGTCATCAAAACAAAGAGAAGTTCATGCCACCACTTCATGTTCCACAGTCTCAACAACTTGGCCTCTGAGAAGCTGTTTCCTCTCAGACTGTTTCCTCTTATCCTGTCTGTCCCTAGACCTTTTGCTATAGAAATGTGTCTGGATGCTATATAATTATTGGTAAACTGAAGAGGAGTCAGGCATTATTTCACAAAGAAATTTAATGCAAATTTTCTAACACATGGCAATTGTGACAACTAGGTATAATTTATTGTTATATAAAATGGCTACAACTGGACAATAGGGAGAGCCACAAAAACAGGCTTGACTACCTCTCAATCATTGGACGGATGACACATTTGATCTCCCTGGATATAGTGGTGCTCCAACTGTCCCCCTCTGAATCAGAAACACTTAGCACCTCAATAGAAATGTCAGTTTTTAAGACTTGCTTTTAGGGAAAAGGCCCCCAAATTTATATTCTTAATAAGATCATCAAAATCTGTATGAAAAATTGAAAAGCACTGACAACACAGGAAGTGTTATAACTTGGGCCCCGGTATAAAATCCAAGGAGGCAAGAGACCAAAATTTAGGTGGCAAAGGCTTTATTTCCAGGCCTGGCGACCAGTCTCCGGGAGCCAGTTTGGAGACTGTCTCCCAGAGGCTGAAGGGAGGACTTTAAAAAGGGGCTGGAGGAAAAGGCGGGGGAGAAACAAAGAAACCTGCAGAGCCATCAAACTTGTTGACCTGAGTCTGGAAACTGTATTGCTGTCCACTTAGCTCTGACAATCTAGGGAGTTCCTGGTGTTTTTTAAAATTACTCCCATCCTGCAGACTGACATTATCTCAGAGTGGCACGTCTGCAGCAATATTTGGAGAAGAAAGTGGAGAGTTAATTATCTCAGGACAGCTTGTCTTCGCTAGTGAGTGCGAAGGGGTCACGAGTTATGAGACGCTGGAACTTAAGTTTTACAAAGATCTGATATCTAACTCATTTGATACATACAGAACAGAAGGAAAGCACCGATTGGGGTTTGGGCCATAGTATTACCCGGTAATTTCTTTAAGCTAAGCAGTTCTTAAAATTGGGGCAGGCTCATTTTACAACAGATCATTACCGGGTCGGGGGGAGGTCACCAGAAACCCAAATTCTTTATGGCCTAGATAGATAGGTGAGGGGAGAGGGAGGCAATAAGGCGCCATACAGAACAGAAAACGGCGGTAATGTGTCAAGGTCAGGGTAAAGGGTTAAACTCACACGCAAATCTCTCTGCACACAAGCAGGTTACCCCAAACAAATGTAAATTAATTGCCATTTTAGTTTTCCTTAGCTCTTTAGCGGAGAATAGAGGCGCCTAGCAGTGATTAACAACCCTTGTTAGCTTGTTTTAGCACAGCTTCTGTAGTTTGTAGAGGGCAACAATGGTTAACATATCAATTAGGTGAGATTCTTGCAATTCTTTACAGGGGAGAGTGTTGCTCAACATATCAATTAGGTCACTTAACATATCAGTTAGGGAAAAAGGATAAAACAAACACATTTAGTAAGCCCCTTTACAGGTTTGCTATAATACACATATAACAAAGCTATTTTCTTAGAGTACGACAGGAAGTAATAATGTACAGCTCTCTAACATGGAGACAAGTGTCTTACAAAGGAAGACAGTTAAACCCACCTACATTTAACAAACTACAGAGACTGGTTCTCCGCAGGAACCAGCCTGCTAATCTTCAAGCTCCAGTACCATTATGGTTACCTTTAGAGGACTGGATGTGCCCAGTCCCAGCACAGGCATGAGGTGCCCATCATTCAGTTTTATAGAAGGGGGCTTGGTATTATTCATCTTTACTCCTCTGGCTAAATACACACTGAAACCTGTACAAGGGAGACAATATCACAGTTGCTGTTTTTCATACTGGCCTTAAGAATATATTGAGTATCATGAAGTAACTCCTTGAAAGCACACAAGTCAATGGTTTTTAGCATAGTCAGAGTCGTCACTACTATATAATGTTAGGAGATTTTCATCATTCCCAAAGAAACCTCATATTCATTAGCAATAACTATCAATTCCTCCATGCCTCCCCAGGAACAACTAATCTGCTTTCTTTATAATTTACCTATTCTGGACATTTGATATAAATTAATTCATATAACATGTGGTCTTTTGTGGTTTCTTTTTTTATGTAACATAATATTTTCAAGGTCAACCATGCTGTAGCATCCATCAGTATGTCATTAGTTTTTATGTGTAAATGACATTCTATTGCATGTATGTGGCATATTTTGTTTCTTCACTAATAGTATCGGGGTTTTCTCCTGTGTAGATATTAAAACTGTTATGAAAATTCACATTCAAGTCATTATGTGGATATATATTTATGTTTCTTGACTATCCACCTACTTGTGGAATTGATAGGTCAGATGGCAAACACATGTTTAATTTTGAGGAACTGGAAAGTATTTTCCAAATTAGCTGCATGATTTACATTTCCAACAGAAATTTATGAGTTTCTCCATCCTTTCCTATACTAGTCATTTCATTTCTTATTGTCAATAACACTTGTTACTATAATTTTGCTTGCATTTCCCTAATGATTAATGATATTGAACATCCTTTCATGTACTTATTTACCCACTTATATGCCCTTTTTTTGGAAAAATGTCTAGTCATAGACATTTGTGTATTTTTTGGGTTGTCTTTTTATTATTTACTTTTATCTATTATTCACACATTCTAGGTATAAGTTCCTTAATATATATAAGACATGCAAATATTTTCTCCCATTCTGTGAACGGTCTTTTCATATCCTTTCTGGTATTCTTTGAAACATACAAGTTTGTAATTTTGATGATATCTAATTTATCTAGCTTTCATGTTGCCACTTCTGTTTTTGATGTCATTGTAAACATAAAGGTATATGCCTATACTTTCTTCTATACATTTCAGTTTCATATTTTATATTGAGTCTACGATCATTTCAAGTTAATACTTTATGCATAGTAAGAGATACAAGTTAACATCTTTTTTAACACATGGTGACTAGTTGTATCAGAGCTACTGGGAAAAAGACTGACTTTTCCAAACTGAATGATGGTGACTCCCTTACAAAGTGTTGGGAGCAGCTGAACAGGAGCTTGTTCACACATGTTGAGTGGAGTGCCTGAAGGGAACAGGTGTTCCAGTTCCAAGAGCATGGATATGAGAGGCAAGCTAACTGTTAGGCAGAAGAGTAATGCTTATTTCGAATTTGTTATTTGTTATCAAGATTGTTGTGGAAATGTTGGGTTTCTCTTTTTTTATTAAAAAAGTAAAAGAAAGAAGGAGATTAAGATAAAAGAGGACATAACAACATAATAACACACTTCAGAACAGAACAATTTAAGCAACATAGTGTTTCACCACAAGTTAACCCGACATAACAGTAGCTACCATAGTGTCTCTTTCCTTGAAATATTTGACTATAACTTCGTATATCAAACACAACATGACAGTGTAAAACCATTCAAGAGAATGAAAGTATTACAGGGTATTTAGAACCAACTAACAGAAAATGAACAATGGTTTCTATATTATCTCCTTGTCTATAAAAATTTGTTTATACTATTACATATAATAAAATCCAATAAGATACAACATGATAAACCAATGGAGACAGAAGAATAAAAGCTTCATGGGACTTCAAAGTAAGATGATATTATATCAGCACTAGCTATTATATTGTCTTGTTTTCTTCAAAACAACTGTTCATACACAAACAATAAAATCAAACAACCCAGAATAGAACCATTCCAAATAATGAAAACATTATAAGGCTTCAAAGCAATATAATGGGCAATCATGTTTACTACATACTTTTATGTATTCTTA